TGCACATCTTTGATGTGAGCCGTCCTCGCCTGTGCGACTATACCTTATCCTGTTTCCCAATGATCAGATAGAACCGCCTGTAATTAGCTGGGCGACTTTAATTAGGAAAAAGTTAACTGTTACATGAAAGCTGCCACATCTGTGATCCTACTGCTGCCTTGGCGTCAGGCTCCCAGGGGGTCCCCATCAAAGGGCTCCCTCCCGCTGCGCAGCCCCACTCTAGCATGCTCTTCTCTGCCAAATCAGGCCTGCCGATGCCAAGTGACAGAGCCGAGCGAAGATGCAGACATGAGTTAACTGTGCAAAACAAAAACAGAAAAAAAAGAGGAGGACTGAACGCATCACTTCGGTCTTCCTTGTCTCTCGTTAGGCGAGGAACACGAGGCCGACACAAAAGGATCTGAGGCCAAACAATGTCACTTAACAAGACATCACTGGCTCATCATTAGCAATTTGCCAGGGCATAATTTGTTCCTCCCCTCACATAATAGGTATCTTGGGATGTTGTGAACGGCCTTCCGCTTGTTTCGCTGTTTATTTTTCTTGGCCCGAGTCTCAGAAGCAAACTTGCCACCTATGGCCATGAGCAGGACGGTGCTGTTGTGATTTCGTTTCACAGTTCCAGTAAGACCTCCTTTAATTAATTCCCAGGCTCATCCTCTTTCATTTAGGTATCTATTTATCTGTTTTACTTGAGACAACAAGCGACCGTCAGGCACGTCACTTGAAAGCGCGGAATGCTCGCCGAAGGAAGATTAAAAGCACCGAAAACTTAGGGATGTCTGCTGTTATGATTTCAGACGTGGACGGCATTTTTGTTTTTGAAACCCATTACCCCTTGGGAGGAATTACAGAGGCTGCGAGATACTGCATGCCCTTTTTCTTTTGCTTTCCACGCCTGCTTCGTTCTCTCTGCCCTCGTTTCCCTGTCTCCCAGCCATTTTCAAGAACAGCTGCATTCTGCTATAGTCGTGTTAAATATGCTTAAATGGCTTGACGTGTATCACTGCCATTAATCAGAAAGCGAAAGGCTTTTAATTTCATTGTGCTTGCATCCTGTTTTCCCCACAGATGGTACAGACAGGGCTCTAGAAACTAGCTCGCGCTCTGTCTGCCTGTCCCATCGCTTCCTATTCTGTGGGCCTTTTGTCATCAGCAGACATTGAGCTGCCATTTATATTCAACGAACACGTGCACTGAGGAAAAAGCCATGCCAGCTCATAACAACAACAACATGATGCGAAGACACAAATACATCACACGTCTTGACAAGTGTGCTTCAGATGTCAATCACTCTGAGAGGAGCTCAGGGCTTTACTCCTTACTTGCCATTAGCAGCGCTTAGCATGCTAATTAAGCCTTGCGTACAATCTAAGATTGCCACCCCATGTATTTTTGTTTTCAGCAGGGAATGTTTAAGCCTTCGGTTTTTGCCGTCCAAGGCCTCAAAAATCCAAGAGTTGTCTTCAGAAATGCAACTGTAGTGGTACTACATTATATCAGCAATCCAGTCAATTTCAGACCAATTGAAATTTCCTACCCGTCTACCTCTCATCCGAACTCAAACCTGCATTAATTTGTCAAGTTTAACAACGGTAGCATAAATTGCTAAGTCCTTCATTGTTGAGTGTGTTAAATGTACAGACATGCACCGTGTAGCACTGACATAGCGCCTCTCTGCTGGCACAGTGAATGAGGAGATTGTGAAATCGATTTCCACATTGTATTTCACACCCTTTCATCAGGTATGGTTCCGCTGCCTGGAAAGCTCACAATTTCAAAAGCACTTAACATACTCTAGCCCTTTTGTTCAAGCGGCACACTACTTCTGTTGAGACAGCAGTGCGAATAAAACCAAATATCAGCGTGGCTGTGACTTGAACTGAAGAACAACCAAATTAGTCCTAGTTAATGTATCTTCATTACTGTTTTCCTTCATCGGCACCAAAAGAATCTGACGCGCTAACGATTGCGTGGCATTAAAGCGACAGCTTCTTCTGTCACTTTGACTGTGAGACGCAAAAGCAGATTATTACAGAGATTTCTTACGTTCCCTGCTGTGAACACTAGAATGACACTTAAAATATAATGATGTTTATTGCCACGCTCATTAGCACGGCTGTGTCTCTTCCGCAGAAATAATACTCCTCTTCATGGGAGCCAAACAGATTTAAAATTGCAGCAGAAGAGAAGCAGGCAGTTATTTCGAGAAAAAAATATTGAACACAGAGAACGGGCTGTCTGTTTGGTCCTGATTAGAATGCATACTTTAGGAAATGCCACGTACAGTTAGAAAGGAGAATGCTGCGTTTCAGTTTTCAAATTGTGCTAAATGTGAATGTATCATCATCATGTTTCCATTTTCAATACAGCTTTAAATGATACTGACACCTTTAAAACAACGGCGTTCGCTTATTTTTATGTCAAGGTGAGACTGCAGAAACAGGACAGGAAGACATTCTATTACAACTGCACCTCTACTTAAATACAGAGCAGAAATTGTTACCATGGCTCATCAGTATAAGCAGTGACAGGACAGAAAGTGCATGCATAATAATGATAATAATAAGTTTTAATTTAATACTGAATGCAACACACTTTTATCTTATGATAAGAAACTAAAACAATGCTTGTAATAGTTCCTGCATGACCTGGAAACATTCCTGAGAGAACAAACTCATCTTGTTCTCTCAAATTTTCTAAACTGAACCGAAACTGAATTTGTATAAGGGGCCAGTGTTAAAGTGTTGACAGTGATTAATAGCAGAGGAGACATTGCTGTAGTACTGTTTGTGCAAAAACAATACCGTTAAGTTCATCTATTTCAACAAGTGTTACAACCATCTTCTAAAAAAAAAAAAAGGTTACAGGGAAATTTGTGGTAGAAATCTACTTCCCTTCAAAGTACATGGTCACAACAGTTATTTGCTGCACTTTGTGGCAGGGTGTACAGTAGACATATGGCAGTACCTAAATGATTCTTTGTCGACACAGACATAAGAAAGTACTGATTGTGCTGTCACTGTTAATCCGACAGCAGAGGGAAGCAGTCATTTATCTAATGACACAGTTTTCCGTGTGAATGATCAATGCCTAATGAAGAGAGGGGAAATGATGGCACTGCAAAGTACTGCTCCTTTATCAGAAACAAAACCTTTTTCAGTGGGACTTGTTCTTGTTTTGTCCATAATACTGTCAAGAATTAAAGAATAAACAATAGCTTTTGTCATGCCATACCTCTATAGTCACATTGTAGTTAATTTAATACTGCGTGATAGGGACCGTTTTTCTAATGGTTAAAAGTAATGGATTGGTTAAACTGAGGACATTTGTCGTGTTTCAAATTGGTCCTCTTTGTTTCAGTTTCAGACACTTGGAGGTGTCATTCACACGGTGCATTGGAGTTCATCCTTTTTCCCCATCTCTCTTTTAATCGTTAATCTGTGCAAAATGACAGAAGACATTTTTAAACAGCTTAAATTGTTAAAGAGGCACAGAACATTGAGTGGTTCAGATACAGCTGTTAATAGAGAGCCGGGCAGTGAATAGACAGGCACCTCTTTCAGCACTCTCCAGAACATTTAGTTTAACTCTCAATGTACTTCTGCGTATGTCTCTGAGGTCAATTTATCTCTGCTCGGCTCTCTTGATAGGACTGAATAATACAGGAGAGAGAGGGCACTGGCACATACCTGGAGTGAACTCTGTTTGCTTCATATCTCCAAGTGCTGGAACTAGTTCTTTTCTTAATATTGGGCATAATGGAAGAATTTGTCGTGGTTTTGTTGCTGTTGGGCTGCAGCTGATGTCACTGTAAATTGGATGTGCTCATAAATGGATTGGTACAAAGGGAGCATTTGAAGACTGGTGACCATGCGAGGTCTGACTGAGGTGCCTACACAAGTGCATATAGATTTGCTCTACCTGACTGCTGCAATTCACCTATTAGTGAGCAGGCTTTTCAGTGCTTTAGACTGACTGAATGCAGTATTGTTAAAATAAGTATATGTACTGGACATTAGATCAGTAACGTTACACAGAATACAGATTTGATTTATCAATGCCACTGCAGCATTCTAAAGCTGAAAAATGTACTGGCGTGTGGTGAAAACTATGTCATCATCAAAAGCCGTTATTGTGATTTTATAGAGATCAGCGAAAATAATCGCTGGCTGTATCTAAATGCTTGCATTTCACAGTCGATCGAAGTGATGAAAACTCATCTACCTCAATCCGATCTTTTGAAATCATGAATAGAGAATCAAATTGAAATAGGACTCATATCAGAATCTGTCTTAACTAAGTCTAGGGATTCATGCATTTTGACAGGGCATTTCAATTGCACTGTCTGAAAGAGATGTTGAAGGACAAAAAAGACAGGAAACTTTGACAAATATCATTCTTAACATCCAAATGGCCTCTATTGTCATTACGGACGGTGAGATTAAGTTCACCTCATCAGACATGAGTATGACAGGTGACTCAATAGGTTGATGCCATGCCGCGAGCAGAGGAGATTAGCAGGGCACTGATATCATTATTTGCAGCTATCGGGGATTCAGCAGGGAGGCAATTGTAATTTCTAGGCTTATTAGTCCACACTCTGTGCAGGAGAAAAGCCTGTTGATAAAGCTTGCCGCTGACAGCCCAGCATTTCGCCACCAAGTGCTGTCACCGTGACACTTACCAAATGCCAGCAAGCTAGCAGCCTTGTAATCCTGCCTAATAGAGGTTAAAACAGACCACTGAGAGGTGCTCGTTGATGATCAAAACAAATGGCACTATTTGAATTTGGATCTTGCGAACGGTTCACGGACCAGGGAACAGGTTTGGTTGATGACTTGTGTCACAAACGCACACGAATCCTTCCTGTCGAAAAGAAATTGTCAATCATTAACATTCCATTCA